ACAGAGCAAGCAATAAATGTCTCATGTAAGTTTGAAAAGGTAAGCAATAAAAAAGTTAAGGTGATTTAAAACTCAAGAAGGTTTTAAAGTCAGAATTACAAGGGGTAGTATTATTTTTCTTATTGTACTGTCAGTATAAAAAGTCTACAGTTATACCCACACATAACACTGTGATCATAATAGTTAGAATTAGGAAGGTAACCCCTTAAAAAATTAAAGTCCTTAAAAATGTTCTTTTCTGGGTGTAGGATTTGGTTGGAAGGGACAGGGTTTGGAAATGGCTTTCTAAAAATTGTTACTATAAGCTGTTCTGCGTTATTTGGTTTCTTGCCTAATAATGTATATGTGTATTACTTTGGTTTTTAAGATCCTTGAGTACCTGGAATGTGGTAGATACAGTTAGAAGAGTTAGACATGGTACTATGTACCTATAGGAGAAGCATCTGTAGAAGCAAGTGGGGCCAGGACTAGAACCCTTCCTGGGGATTTCTTTGTGTAAACTGGGAGAGAGGGAGGCAGGGCAGGGAATCATAGTTTACAACTCAGCAGGTAAAGTCCATGGTATATTTGGCCAATTGATTGAAACTGTTGGTACATGGCCCTCAGAGAGGTGAATTAGGAGAAGAAATGTTTAAGACTTGAGAGCTTGGGGACTTAACTCTGCTCCTTTAGATAATAATATTCCAGTCAGGCAGATAAAATTACTGACAGTGTGGAGCTGTGAGAATCCTCAGAGAAACTCTATCCAATCTTCCATTTTATAAACAAAAAAAGCTTGGTAGTGGCAGAAGTAGCGCTGAAATTCAGCCATTCTAACTCCAAGTTTAGTGTTAGATCAAAGAAGTTCCAAACTGTCATGATTTGGAGGGATATTGTGCAAGGGGGAACAATAATATAATAGAGGACACATATTTTATATGATTATTTATAATAGTAACCCAAAGAATGATACACAAGCGAGTGCTGGAGATCTGTCCACACACTATAGACCAGGAATCCAGCTGAGGGCCTGGATCCAATGATAATGTCCTGCATGAGTCCAACTTAAGACCTAGAGCTCATAACAATGCCTTTCACAAGTCCAACTGGAAGCCCAGAGCCCATAACAATATCTCATGCAGGCCTGTTTCATGGATCTGTGCTGGGAAGGCCGAAAGGCCGGTGGTGGAAGCTAGAAAGTCTGTGCCAGCAGGATGAAGGATCTGTGCTAACAGGCTGAGAGATCTGCACTGGAGCCAGGAAGCGATGCTCAGAAGAACCAGAGCTCCCCCGAAAGGTACCACAGCCACCTTCAGCAACAGTGAGGTTCCAAGCTCCTCTGATGATCAAGATGGCCGAGTTCCCATCAGGGAAGCCAACACAGCAAGCTTCTCCAGAAGATCAGCAGGGCACTGTCTTCCCCTCCAGAGCCAGGAAGTGATGCTCAAAGTGAGGGCCAGCGCTCCCCCAAGGTGAACCAAAGCCATTCTGAGTGCCAAAGAGATCCCGAGCTTCTCAAAGGATGAAAACAGCCACGTTCATCAGGAAAGCCAGCATGACGAGCTCCTCCAAAACAACCAACAGCTCCTTACAGCATCTACCAGCTCCCAACTGCCTCTCTCATGTTCCAATAGCCTAACTTTTCCTTCTCTAGTTCTGGCTCTTATGCTGCTGGCGACAATCCCCAGGAGGGCCTCCTACACCCAGCCCCATGCTTACTCGGTTCAGCTGGGGGTTATAAGTTGACCACCAGTTGTCAATCCACTACACAGACTACAACACTAATATTTGTCACCTACCTACTGTGGGCACTGTCTTGAGCACTTGGATCATGTTATTTATTTTAACTTTCACAGCATCCATGTAAAGTATACTATGCTCATGTTAAATTTGAGCAAATGAAAATATAATAATTTATTAATTTGTTTAGGACCTATACCTGGGCAGAAACTGAGCCTAGATTTAAAAGAATATCTCTGGGCTTAGAATCTCTAGGTATCTGGCTCAGAGTTTGCACCCTGCTGGTTGAGAGGAGAGCAGAGCATTTCTGTACTGGTGAGCAGAGTAAAAATCATACCTATTTCATACTTAATCATTGAGCGCATCAATATAGCCCAGTACTAAGGGAAACAGGATCCTTGCACTGTGTGAGCAGGGCTCTTTGATCTGCTTCCCCATTCCCTCATGGCCACAGTGGGTGAAGGTCTGTGTGCCACTAGTCCATCCTTCTTAATTAGAAGGAACCCCAGGAGCCTCTGCATAGCTCCAAGCTATTCTGTGCAAAATAAACAGGAACCGGAAAAGAGGGAGAGGAGAGAGATGTCCTCGCTGACTTTAAAAGATTTATACTGACAATATCCTAAGGAGCTTATGAAATTTATTTTTTTCCTTTTTTTGTGGGGAAAAACTGCTGATAAAAAGATAGCTCTCTACTATAGAATTTCATTGAGAGTGAAAATACTTTAGCTCAGTCTCTTATTGATAGTCCAGTTGCACAAAATAAAATTCATATAAACATCATCTCACATATTAGAACTGGAAACATAATCCATCTTCTAGTCAGCTTTGAAAGAGTCCCTTTATTGAGGTACTGCTTTACTGAGTCACAGGGACAGAATTTACATGGGTTCCCACACCTAGGAAGGAGGGCCACTGACATAGGATGAGGCCTCAGACCTGACACCACATCACCTTCAGCTTGGTTTTTGAGGTTCCAGTGTGTGCTGTGAGCACATACAGGCATACTTATACTCTTTCTGAGAAGAAATGAGACAGCATCTTCATTTTTCCCATGTTCTTTCTTTCAGTAGCTAGAGAAACCACTGCTTTCAACCCAATTTTCTACCAACTTGGAAACATCAGCGGAAGGGCTCAGACCAGGGCACAGTTATTGTTCACTTATTTGTAAATTCATTCTAATCTCAAACTATACTCTTAAAGAGTCTGGGACAAGACTATATCACTGGATATACTTCCAGGTCTTCCAGCTACTCTGGGTAGATACACACTAACCTAAAATTGGAAACCCCAATCATTCCCAAAGAAGGTTTTCTAACATAACACCTGTGTTTACAGTGGACACACATTGAAGACATCAAATTTGTATTTAGTCACCTTGTCCAAATGTGGTGATGTAGGATGAAGTTGGCTTCTCCTCCCCATATCAGATCAGTCTTCTGGAAGTCCCATTCTGATGATGTCATGCATCTGCTCAAAATATCTAGCTCCTTATTACCCACAAAGTAAAGTAAGGAATCTTAATCCAGGGGTTATGTTCTTTATGTTCTGATCCTACCATCTGCCATCCTACCCTTTGTAATTTCCAAATCTCCCACATATCCCACTCTACAACCCAACATTTTCTACCTTTATGTCTTAAGCCCTCTTCCCATTGACTTGTGCATGCTGGTTCTTCCAATATCGTTGTTCCTCTCCCTTTGTAAGACCTAGTTTGAGAGTCTTTTTTCTTGAATCTTTCTGCCCAGACTTAAAGTCACCTGTTTCTTTCCTGGAGTCTCTCAAAGCACTTTTTGTGTGTTATGACTTCACAACCTCCTTGAGGGCCAGAATGTGTGTAGTTCATGTCTGTGTCCCCAGGACAAAGCCTATGATTGGACGGCTGCTCAAAACAGACATTCAATAAAAAGAATTTGAGAGAAGAAAGGGATAAGGAAGGAAGGAAGTGCATAGATGGATTTGGTAAAATATCCATCTGCTTCTTCTTCTCCTTGGCTGTCTGAACTATGTATTCTGGACACAAGGTACCCTGGTCATATTTTAAGCTAAAAGACACTGTTAATGATGAAGAAGATACAAAGAAAAAAGCACTGATTAGAATTCCAGAGCCTGGCATCTGGACTTAACTTTCAAACTACAACTTTTGATAAATTACTGCTAGAAAAGCAAGGGATTGTATTTGATCTCCTTTCCAATTCTGGGTCTATGATTCTAACTCCATACTTTTTCCTCTGTTCCCACGGCAAGAACATCCCCCTACACACTATAAGTTAGGGATAAAATGTACATCATCTACTGAGAGTTACCTCTAACTCCTAATCCAATGACTTCTCCATGGAAAATGCTTTTCTGGTAGGAATCCCTAACTTCAATCTGCACCATTCTTTACCGCAGACTGCTAAATTATTTGCATAACTGAATAACTGAGTTATCTGCAGATTGAATGGCAGGTGTTTGAGTGTAAGAACAGGAGGGTGTTTGAGAAAGCTGAGCACTTACTAGCTGGTTCTCACGGGGGAAGTTGAGGATCATGTTGCAGTAGGTTTCCAAGAAAAAACAGCAGCATCTACTTGTCCAAAACCTCGATGAGAAGTGCTGCAAATAAAATTAATGCATCAGAGAGATGCCTGGAACAATAAAATGGTGCTGTACTTTTATGCTGACAGTAAGCTCCCCGAATGTAGGTTTCTTGTAGGTCATTTGGCTTGTGCTACTGGAATCAGGGTTGGCATGTCCCAGAGGAAAACTTGGCTACAAGCACCGCACCAGGGGGGATTTGTAGGGCTTTTTTGTGGAGACCAGCTGCAAATTCACATGATTCATCAACCCAAGAACTGAAATGGATCTTGAGAGATTACTGAATTCAGCCAACCCTGCCCATCCCACTTTATAAACAAAACAAGTGAAACCTAAAAAAGTTCATGCTGCACCCAAGATCACCTAGCTAATAAGCAAAGGAATAAGAGTCCTTTGAAATAAATGTTTTTATTCTTGTTTCACAGATGAAAAACTTGAAGCTCAAAAACAGAGCTAGCAAGTAGGGGAGCTAAAGTTAGACCCTTAACCTGACTGGTTAGAAAGCCCATGTCCCCAACCATCTATCTGCATCAAGCATAGTTTCCAAAGGAAAGCTAACAGGGGGGACTGGAGGTGTCAAAGAATGTGAGAAAGGCCTCCAGCATCTCCCCCTTGATGCAGTTGGTCTCTTAAATCCTGCTACAGGACTACTGGTGGTCATCTTGCCTCAACACATCTGAAGATTCGCTTTTCCTGTTTCTTACCAGGCTCCTTCCTCCTCCTGAACACCTCAGCGGACTCGAAACACACCATTCTCAGCCCGTGGATGAGGAGCAGTAGTGAGTACTGTACACTGGCTGTCTCTGTGCACAGGCACCTGCAGCCCTCTGGGAGGTACATCGCCCAGCTGCTACCCCACAATGAGGCTGGAAGAGAGATTCTCCTGGTACCCACGCCAGGGAAGCATGGGTAAGTCTTTTCCTGTGTCCAAAATTGATTTTACAAGGGTGATTTGGCTTCTTCACACTAATTTCCAGGCTTTGTGACATCTACTTAAAACTCACAGTTATCAAGCTCGGTAGGTCCAGCTTGAACCATTACTACTAATATTTCCTGGGTAGTGTCTCTGGCATTCATCTGTGGGTCTCCCTGACCCCCTTGGCTAGTGGTCCTTCCAAAGGCCAGAGGCCCAGCTGTCAGAGTGGCATTTAATATGTGGCTGTTAAAAATATTCATTTCCCAAAGTCCAGATGGAGCCAAGTAAAAAGCAGCTAAAAAGAATGTCAAATGCCTGAAATTAAAATAATTTAATATGCTGGAAGCTCGGTTTTACCAGCAGAACTTGGGCAGGAATGGAAAAGAAAAAAATGTGTCCACCCTAGCAGGTTTTATGAGAATGTGGAACCTCAGAAGAGAACTAAGGATACCATGCCAATATCATCTCAGTGGTCATTGTAAACGAGCTTTGTCCTTGAACCTCAAAAGCATCCACAACCTTGGTGTCACACCTGCCTGTGACAACCAAATCCTCTCAGCTTTCTAAGGATCTCACTTACTCAGCAATCTGTCAGTCCTCTAAAGAGGAGAGACACTGGAAAGCAAACTTGAGTAGCAGTGTCTCTTTGCCTGGTTTTTCTCCCACTAATTTCATAATAATAAATACCATCCTAAATTCCCAGTTTTGGGGATCCATAGATTTAATTACTTTATAATCAACAAGGATGAAGCATCTTTTGTGGCTTGTATACAAGAAAAACTTAACTGATTTGCAGCTGTGCTTAGATTTGATTTCTTTATAATAAAATACCTTTGCAGAGGTTCCCATCTGAACAATGACCCATCTTTCATCTTTACAGTATATAGTGGAGAGTCCTGCCTATTGCTTTTCCAATAAGACTGCATGACCTTCTTAGTGATTTCTTGGAAGTCTCCTCCCCACTGTTCCCTACTGACCTATCTGTATTCAGTTATGCTTAGAAGAAATACAATCTCCTGAAATTCTAGTAGGAATGACATTTTGACATCAGGAAGAATGCTATCTCCGTACCGAAGCTCACATCCACTTTTTGCTTTGAAATGTTTCTCTGGGCTAGATAGGCAGGTTCCAGACACCAGCACCTTTTGTTATAGTTCCCATAAATCAGGAACATCAAGGGTCTGGGTACCCACTGTTTTGGAAGACTGTCTTCTGGTGTCAAGCCTTCATCTGCATGACCTCCCCTTCCCAGAGACCATCGCAAATGGTAGGGCCTCCCATCCATGGGCAGGGCTGCTGCTGGCCTTGTCTGTGTGGCCATCTTCTAGGCATTAGCCTAACCTCATGAGCTATTTTTTCTGAGTAATATGTTCAACATTCCTTCCCCACCCAGTCTGGCTGACCAGGGAGGCTGATCCCCTGCGTGACTGGGTGGGTGCAGTGAAGAATCATGCATGTCCTGGCAGGGATCAGAATCAGAGATCACTTTGAAAGGTAGGCTGAGACTATCCATGAGTGTGAGAGGAAAGGTGCCAGAGGGATTTGGTACATTCTGCACAGCAGTGCTCATTTCCCTGGGAGTAGGCAGGAAGGCAGCATGACCTACTAGTCATAGGGGCTTGCAAAAGCTTTTCTCCTCTTTACCTCCCTATGCTCATAACCACCAAGTGAATTCTCAGTTAAAAGATGAGAAACTGAAACAGACGAAGAGAAAAGCTGATGTGGTCTAAACTGGATCTCACATCTCTTCTCTCTCATTTATACTCTTTCCAGAAAGCCCAAAGCCTTTCAGCAGATGTTTGAGGCTTGGTGTTACAAAGCAAAACTTAAGGTAAAAGAATCTTGCAAGAGAAATCTTGTTTGATGTCTCAGGCAGATGAGCCCAGGACATGCAGTGCTCATATCTTCAGAGTCAGGTGTCCCTCCACAGTTGGTATAAACAAGACTGTGACCTCATGATGTGAACAGGCCAGGAACTTCCCTACACTAGAGGCTAGTATAGTCACCAGGGTCCACCTGGCTTGCCAGTGCATGCTCTTCCCAATGCAACTTCTCCACCACCAGATGGTTTGGGCTGCTGTCTGGAGGACTGCATTGAGGCGGGACAGAGGGATCAGGATTATGCTAGGGAAAATCCAATGAGGTACAGTTTTGCCTGGCGCTGCCCTGACATGGACAGGGGCTTTGTCTCAGGCTTTATGAATATCGGATACAGAGATGTTTTCCTCTAGCCTTGGGAGAGCCATGTTGAAATTTAATGATTAGCAGGAATGATTCCAAATTTAAATTAAAGATGCCTGGCCCAGACTCCCCACTTCAACATGATCGATGTGGTGAGGGTGGGAGGTGGCAGCTAAAGGGACAATCAATAGCCAGCTCTACTGCACTGAGGAACTCTGCTTCTCTGGGTGTCTTGGAAAGCTGAAAGACACAAGGCACTTACCCATGAAATCAAGGAACTCTACATATTTGTACAGAGTTAGGTCAGTGTTTCTCACTCTCACATTATTGTATAGAGTTCGATCAGTGTTTCTCACTCTCACATTATCTATTTCGGTGGAACAATTGTTTGGGGAGGAATGTCCTGTATATTTTCTCCCAACATCCCAGATCTCTATGCAAATAGAGACTAATAGCACCTCCCTAAATTGTGACAATCAAAAACCTCTCCTCCAGACATTACAAAGTGACCACCATGTTTAGTGGGGAGCATAGTCACCCCCACAGAGAACCACTGATGGAACAGTTTAGATCTGGGAGGAACTGTGGGATTTAACTGCTTCAACCCTCACAATTTACTGGTGTGAGAACTGAGGCCCAGGAGAAGTCATTCCCAGTCACATCAAGAGTTTCATTTTTGCTACACAAATGTCTGTACTTGTGTGCCAATCACTGTTCTGGATGTGGATTACAAAGATGTATAAGGCCTAGTCCCTTTCTTTGAGTAATAACAACTACTGCTAATGTCTATTTAGCCCTTTCTAGATACACTGGCCAGTTACTTTGTGCACTGTGCATGCATTTTGCTATTTAACACAACACAGTGAATTAAGTTATTGTTATTAGCTTCAATTCTACAAGTGAGGAAACTCAGGGAGACCAGATAAACTATCCAACACCACAGCAGACAGGGAGAGGTGTTCTGAACCTAGCCAGCCAGATTTCAGATCCTTTTTATCCATTGCTGTAAGAGCTCGAGCCACAGTAGTGCAGCAGTAAAATTCACAGACCAAAGCTGTGAATGGCAAGCCCTGAATTTGAATCCTTGCTCATCATCACTTGTTAGACAATGAACTCAATGTATTGAGTACTTTCTATTGGTCAGGACCATACGGGTGCAGAGAATACAAAAAGTCAGCTCCTCTACCGACAATGTTCTGTGGATGTCTCTGTGGCTTCAAGCGCATCCCATTCCTCCTGAAATCTCAGTTTCTGCATCTTCAAAGTGAGAATGATGATGCTGGCCCTGCCCACATGTGGTTGTGGGGTCAGTGTAATGAAGGGTAGAATGATCTTGCACAGTCTGAGTGTAATGCAAATGTAAGGCATCATTATCAAATATCCTAACCTGCTTTGCTCTGCTCAGAGTCTGGGATGGCAAGGGATTGAGATATGTCTGTCTATGGGGTTACAGCCCATCTCAAGAGTCCAGTGGTTTGCCTCACTGAAAGCTCATTCCCTTTGATGTCAGTGATGACCTCAGTAGTGCGGTGCTCAGAGCAGCAAGGGGAAGACAGTGATATCCTGGTGATGTAGACTGTGATGATTACAAATGGGGCTGGCTTCCTCTCCTAACAGGAGATGAGGGTTTGGGGACTAGTACATGGAAAACAACATTCATCATTGCCACAATGGAGAAAGTTGTAATAACAGTCAGCCGGGGAGAGCATGACTCAGAGGAGTGGGTTGAGGAATAAGGCAGATGCCACCAAGTCCCCGGAAACCCCTGAGTCGTGAGTGCTGCGGTAGCTCTGGGAGCAGAAGCCTGCCTGGAAGCATTCAGGGCAGGGCAAAGACGGTTGGGGATGCACAGCAGCTGTTCCCTTCCTAGTCTCTTGGAAAGCAGCGGAGTGTGTGAGGTCTAATGAATCACAGAGCATGAGCAGCCACGTCTGCCAAGGCGGCCTGGGTTTAGGAAGGGTCTCTGGGGGACCAACAGACCAGTGCCCAGTCTGCTCATCTGCCTGGTTAGAATGACCACAGGAGAAACAGGGAAACCAGGCCTGCCTAACATCCCAGGCCAGCTGGCCACAGAATCAAACAGATGTTGGACATCTTGGCCAAAAATGAGTGACCACAGAGTCTCCACAAATTGAATGACCACAATAATACCTACTTAATATGGTGAGGTGTGAATGTCATAAGGAAATTAGCTTGCATTGTGCCTGACTATAGCAGGCATTTCATAAATTTTAGGTCCTTTTCAGTTTATATGTTGTTTTCACAGCCATGGGCTGAGGGCTCCTCATGTAATAGGTGTCAAAGATGACACAGCTGAAGACAATGAGGTCATAGTTTTCAAGGAATGCCCCAACCATTAAGAAAGACACAAGTAAAATAGCAACAGCATGTGCTTACACTGGTATTTTTAAACTGAGGCCCAGAAACAGGAGGGTGCTGAGCTAAGCTCAGTGGCCAGCAGAGACAGCCAAAGCTGCCAGCCACTACTTCTGCCTAGTGAGCATCCCACTGTAGCACACTGCTGTCCTGAGGTGTTTCAGAAAGATCGATCTGGCAGCAACTGGCTATGTGCAGTCAGCGCTGTCCTGGCCACAGGAGCCTAAGGTTAAGGGCTGGAGGTTTTCAGGGCATGGGAGAGACGTTCCAGAGCTCCTCTGCACACATCCAGTTTAAATATTTCTGTCTTCAAGCACACATCTTTCTCAGGCAACAGTGAGTATCTGGGGACTTTATTATGTGTGACCAGAACTAGAGTGTGGAGAAGAACTGCGTCTTGAGGGTATAGAAGTTGCTGATCACCTGAATTACTAAT